TTCTTGTCATTTATTTTTCTTCGAATACCCCCCCCCCCCATTTTAAATGACTGTAAAACAAAACTAACGGAAGTAACATCATTCTCGACACATTCTATTAATGTTCTTCTCCAGTAGAATTACACCTTTTCTAACATGGTTGGATCAATAAGTCTTTATGATCATACGTACAATAACACATTTTGAAAATAATGTTGTGTAGTAGTTTCACATTTGCAGTGAAATTAAGGGGTGTTTATTTAAATATACACGTATCCATTTTACACACACAAAAAAAAAAAAAAACAATGCCGCCACAAAAAACCCTTCTTAACCCAGGGCCTTTATTCGAATAAATACAGTATTTATTGCTATCATATACAATAATTCAGTTAAAACCTGCCACAATATGGGAACGATCAGCCTTCTCACAACATGGTTCTCTAAGCTGGGCGCACCTTGTTTCTTGGTGAGCACCTAAAGACATGACGCCATCTGATGATTGTCGGTGCCAGTCTCAGGAGATTGTCATTAGAAATGATTCATTATGCATGCTACGTCGCGTCATGTTCTCTATTACATCGTGTCAGCCAATGACAATTGGCGCAGTGTATGTCCGGCTTCAGACTGTTTTAAACCAAACAGAAACGAGAAATTTTATTTTGCTTTTAATCACGTTTTTTTTTTCTGTTTCCTTTTTGCAAATTGTTTGCTTCCTGGGTGACATCCATTTAAAAAGAAAATACTTTACGCTGGAGAAACCCTTCCTGAATTAATGAAGTTAGAGTATATCTTCTAGATCCGAAACAGCTTCTTTAGGCAAGGTTGTCTCTAAGTTAGCAGAATCCATGCCTTGTGCAGATGGCAATAAGCTAGGTAGGCATTCGGAACTATGTACACTTTGGTGACTTGAAGATGAGAATATGTTTTCGGTTTGGGGCACCTGTCCCATACTAGCACTAGCATTGCTGGTCGACTGTCCAGTATTTTGTAAAGCGTTTGTTCCTTGTGGATACGAATACTTTGGCGCATTGAATGGATTTCCTTGCATGTAAGTGGATGGCATTGTGGTGGCAGCACCAGAGTACGGTTGCCACAAAGGGTTTTGTGTAGTGAATGGCGCGCTCTCATTTCTGTTTCCACTCCAGCAATTTGCAGCCATTTGAGGTTGCATCTCGAATCTGTTGGTGGTTAAATCATTTGAACAGGTTGCAGCAAGTGGAACAATCTGTGGACTCGTAGCAGTGGAGTTTGATGGCGCCTGTAAGACTTTTGCACCGGTTGACATTCGCAATTCGTTTGAATTGGTCATTGTTGTGACTTCCGATGCCGATGATAGCAGTGGTTTCCACGGAAAGTTACGGTTTGGATGTTGACCAGATTGGTCAACCAACTGGTTATGTGTTTCTGAGGTTGTTGTAGACTGAGAATTTGATGTCCCTGCCTCTAAGTTTCCATTACCTCTGATAGCCAGAATCCTGCCATCATTAGTTCGGAGGTACATTCCTCTCTGTGTTTTTATAAATGTCACACTCTCACCAGTTTTGATGATTTGTGATTTTGCTGTTGTCGATGTGTTAGTATTTGGCAGTACTATGTCTGAAAGACAGGATATGTTTTCATAAAGATATTTTGTATACCTATGTAATTGTGCAAGAGATTTCAATAACATACTGATATAAATTATATAATAAAAATGATTCATATTTATACACTTTGTATTTTACAGGCTGCAGTATGCCTGCTTCATTTTGTGAGTTATAAATGTAACTATGCCCATATAACTATGGGCATAGTTATTATTTTGAATAACCGTAACATCAACGCATACATACTTGTTGAACATATTAGTGTATAAGGAAGGGTAACACTACTTCATTTGGCACAGAAGACATGATTTTTAAAATATTAAAAATTCAGTGCCTTTGAGTTTGAGAAGATTTTTGGACAATTTTTGCATGTCGGGCGTATAAGATGACCCCTGTTTCATGGCTAAAATTCCTACTTTTTTATGCTTTTTATGGTCCACATACTGCTGGCTAAAAATGGAGCCAAACGCGAGGCCAATCTTCCAGATAAAATATTATGAGTTTTTAAATATTCATAAAAATAAAAAATTGTGTTCTTTCATACTAAAATTAGTAGCATCATTGCAGTAGTAAATTTGTGTGTTATGGACGATGCAAACAAAAGACGAACAAGATAGTCTTTATAATTTTAGATTTTACTTTTCTTTGTACAGTATGTATTCCAATTTGATTTTTCTTTTATATTTAAGTTTCTTTATTTTACTTGTATCTTCTTGCAAAATTGGCCTTGTGAAAAACACCAATATGGTCATACAAGTTTTTTTCCATTTTAAAATGAAGTTGTTATTATTATTATTATTATTATTATTATTTTTATTTTAAAAATCTAAAAATTTTATGTTGTGTGTATAAAACAACCCCCCCACCCCACATTTTTCGATCATAATTTGCTTTTTTAAGCCTTGTCTTATACTGTATGCGAGTATATACAGTAAGTTATGAGTAGCTCTAGGAGCTCCTCCGCCTTTTGTTCAACTGCTGACATTACTATTATGATTAATCTTGATTGGTCTTTAATGCACCATAATCCCACTGAGTCTTAATTGATTAAAGCCGGTTGCTCACTGCGTGTGACAACAACGCGACGAAGAACGCACGCGAAGACGCGGATCCAACGGATCCTCTTTTTAATGAGAATCTGTTCAGATTGCCACTGACAATCAGCAGATGGCGTTGCGTCGTCTATCACTCGCAGTGAGTGTCCGGCTTAAGAGACAAACATACTGTTATGCTTTTGAAGAGTATTATTATTATTAATAATATAAAAACTTTATTTTAACACAGAAGCTTGTCTCACCCAGAGGGTGCTATTCTACAAGGCCATGTTGCCATTGTTAAAAAAAATGAAACTTAGAAAACAAAACAAAAGAATTCAAAATGAAAAAGCATTACCGAACATATTTGTTGGAAGAAAATCAGTGTCAATGAAAAATAAACCAAACAAGTGATCAATTTCGAAAATTTTTTTTTGAATGATTTGCATTTGGTGCATCTCTCATAAAGAAATACTTATTTGAACCAGATGTTTACATACCTGTTGTGCAGGTGATTCTTTGAACTGACACACCTGCTTGCTTTAGGTTCTCCAGTTTATCTTGAACATTCTGTGAATTTTTGGTGACGGGCACCATCGGTACAGGTGTACACTGCATTGGACGAACATTTGCTACTGGCCTTTGTAATAGATGCTGTGGTGGGTATCTGTTAACAAGTAAAATTTTAAAAAAATATATAATTAAAAAAAAAATGTACATATAAAGAGTAATTTTATTAACCATGGACTATGGGTGATATTTCAAATAGAAAATGTACAGGTCTTAAATGAACTGGTTTATTGTGTTGAGCATTTTGACACTTTTTGAAAGAAAAAAATTGGTTGAAAAATCTGTCAGTGCAGGCCAAAAAACAAATTGAGGGGGCAGGGGCAAAATAATCCCTTCGGTGGTTAAAATATGTAAAAAGGACTTAACTTTTTTTTTATCTAAAGTCATATTACGGTGATATTGGTGTCAATACATTTGTTATTTAAAATATCACCCTTTCTTTACCCTTTGGCAAGTCGAATGGCCGAGTGGTTAAGGCAGGTGAGCCACAACCTACTACAGGCATAATGTCTGAGTTCCAACGGCACATTCGCTTATGGTTTTGATGGTAGAACAAGCCCAGTACATAGAGAACCCAGTACATCATTCAAGATGGGTAGGGGTTATAATGGTGTACTGGTACAAACAGCCCCTGTAGAGGATGACAAGAGTTGCTGGTACTGGCGTACCGGGTAGCAGACACAAAGGGACCCTTAGGGGCAGAGAAAGTCATTGATCAAGCTACTAATCCACAAATCAAGCACCATATATTTAAAAAAAAAAACTGCATCAAAATCACTATGATATTTTAATGTATTTGAAGGGAGCATTTTTAGATGGGTTTGCTAAGACCATGATATTATACATTATGTTTGAATGTTTTCTTCCAAGCATTTTTGAATGGATACCTGTATGCTGTTACTCATTCATTATTAATCATTTCTCGGTAGCCACACATCAAATCCTGCGTTTGTCTCACCCATATAACCATTTCCTACTAACACTACAATTGAACTTGCGTAAGTCAACTTTGCCTATCTCGAATAATTTTTTATTTGACATGCCAAATTGTTGTGTTGTCCATTAATTAACGATCTGTCAAAGTCAAATTTTATCTAAGTCAAACAATTTTCAATGTCATTTTAGATTCGACTTATGCAAGTTCAACTGTATTTATATACAATATGGAGCACACTACACAAATCATAGGCTTTTAATGTATATTATTTTGATGTTTGTTGTCTGGAAAACTGCACTAAAAATGCTATATATTTTAGAAGTGGTAGAAAATTTTCAGTTTGGTCTGCCCAAACAATTTCCAGGAGACTAAATTCCAGGGCTCTGCAGGAGTCTCCTGGGCACTCAATGTGGTCCTTAAATTAATTAATCAGTTTGGTCTAGTCTGTCAAAACGATGGTCCTTGGTGTGTCTAATAGAATCCCTACATAGTTAAAGACTGGCACTCAACAGGGGGTCCCAAGTTGGAAGAATCTATACATGGAAGATCTGTTTAAATGAGTTTTCTGAAAACATTTAAAAATATGCTGCTGTGCATGGTGATAACCATTATTATTAACTGCAATATAAGTTCTGGAAAAAACAATTCATAATAATTAAATAGAAAAAACTTGTAAAAGCATGCAAATATCATCATAAATTTGCGGGAGATTTTTGCTTGCTGGTGGACGTGCAGAACTCTGCAGGAGACGCATGGGTACTAAATGTGGACCGTAGATTAATAAAAAAAAATAATACATTATGTCTATTGGTTGATTTCCTGTTGATTTATAATCAGGCGGTACTGGGAGAAACAACCTGATTTCCTGCCTCACATCAGACATCCATTCATAGAAACCTTAACGAAGAAAGCCTATATAAGAATGGATGTACTTAGGCTGTTATAGCATGCAGTTATTTATTCTTTATAAAACATTTCATGGTAGCCAGACATAAAAAAAAATAGTAAAATATAAAAAATAAATCAATTAATCAATAGATAAATAAACTTTTTTGAAAAGAGAAAGGGCTATACTTTGCAGATGGAAAACAGCGCTGCGAGCAGCTCTGCTGGAGATGGATACATGCGCCAAATAAGATGACATTATTATTGTCTTTCCATTACTATATAATAACATCGCCACTAACATTATCGTTATTCAATATATACAAAACACTGTACAGTGCATTGGCTAATATTTCTATGTGCAACGAATAGAGACAAATTATAGTAGGCCATAGTTATAAAGGATCTGTCCATACACTGTCAAATTGTATGTGACAAATAAATGTGATTTGCCCACATCTGGGTGTGACATCATCATGACCATATATGGGCATATCACATTAATTTGTCACATGAAATTTGATAGTGCAGACATTTATTATAAACTGATTTATTTTTAATTATAT